TTTGTTTTTGTTTAATTGAAGACAGTTTGTTGCCATCCAGGATTTCACATCCTGGAGGCAGTTCAGGATGGATGTGATGGAGCTGGAATCCCCTGGGTTTAACGGAAGATAAATTTGTGTGTCATCTGCATAGTGAAAAGAGACTTTGTGCTGGTGGAAAATGGAGCCTAATGGAAGCATGTATGGTGCAAATAAAATGGGCCCTAAGATGGAACCTTGAGGTACACCAAGTGATATGGACAGATGAGGAGGAGAGGCCCCCACTCTTAACAGAAAAAGATCTGTCTAGGAGGCAAACCACTTGAGGGCAGTTCCCTGGATGCCGACCAGTTCTTGAAGGCGGTTCAATAATATAGAATGATCAACAGTGCCAAAGGCTACACTGAGGTCTAATATTATTAAAATGACACATTTAGCTCTATCTAAAGACAGCAGTAAGTCATTTGATACTTTAAGAAGGGCAGATTCTGTGCTGTGTCGAACACTAAAACCTGACTGAAAAGTCTCCATGATGTTGTTGTTAGGTAGATGAGACACAAGCTGTGAATAGACAGTTTTCTCCAGTACTTTGGACAGGAATGGGAGCTTGGAGATGGGACGAAAAATGTTTAATACAGAGGTGTAAATAGTTAAGCCAAGTGTAAATACTAAGTCCAGGGTATGGCCATGGTTATGAGTTTGACCGGAAACATGCTGAATAAAGTTAAAGGAGTCTATTGTTCCAAGAAATTCAGCAATGCTGGCATTGGTTTGAGTGTCCACATGAAAATTAAAGTTTAAGTCTTTAATAAAGTTTTTCTCTATACCCTCATCAATATCTACAAACCTCCCATTTCAGATATGATGTTTTTAAATCAAATTCAAAATGTGTTAGACAGCTCACCAACAGGTGTGATTATATTAGGGGGAGACCTGAATAACATATTCAGTGTGCATGACAGCTCAACCAAATACAGAAAAATTAATCCACCAAAAAAATTACTGAAATTTCTTTCTGTTAATGAACTGCAGGATATATGGAGAATATTATATCCCAACACAACGGATTACACATCTACTACTACTACTACTACTACTACTACTACACATCTTACACAATAAGTCTTGCTTTTCTTTTGGGATAAAACTGAAACTGGTGGAGTCGACCTTTCTTCCGATTATTGATTATGGTGATGTGTTATATATGAATGCCTCTGCTCACTGCCTCCACTTGCTGGATAGTGTGTATCATGGCGCTCTGAGGTTTATCACAAACCGTGGTGCTCTAACACATCATTGTGTCTTATACACTAAAGTAAATTGGCCATTTTTATATGCACGCCGGCTCGGCCATTGGCATGTCTTGATTTACAAGGCCATTCTTGAGATGATTCCATCTTATTTATCATCTCTTTTAATCCTGAATAATAGAGCCCACAGTCTCCTTTCTCAGGACTTTTTACATTTTACTGTTCCTATGGTCAGAACAGAATTGGGGAAGAAGGCTTTTAGGTTTTCTGCTCCAACTTCATGGAACAATTTGCAGTCAGAGCTCAAACTCCAAAGCCTGGTATCTCTGAATGTATTTAAGTCCATGATAAATCCCATTGTATCCAGGCTTTATGAGTGTAAATGTTTTATTTGATCTCGACCTGATTGTGTAAATTCAACTGTTTGTAATTTGTATCTCTTATGTCTATGTTTAATGTGACAATGTGTTGAAACTATATGTGCTGCCATTCGTGGCCAGGTCTCTCTTGTAAAAGAGATCTTTGATCTCAATGGGACAAACCTGGTTAAATAAAGGTTAAATAAAAATAAAAAACACATATTTTTCACGCCCCCAAAACAGCTTATATCGAAGACAGGCCTGGAAAGAGTAATATCTAGTAAAATTCACAACATTATAATTTCAGATCATGCCATAGTCACTTGCATTATGTCCCCGAAACAAAATACATTGTCTCACAGGATATGTAGAATGAATAGGAAATTTTTAATGGACACTGAATTTTTGAAACATATTAAAGAATACATTAATTTATTTATTCAAACCAATGTAGAGGGGGGGAGACCCTCAAGACAGGCCAGAAATTGGGTAATTTGGGATGCATTCAAAGCTTATATAAGAAGAATAATGTTAGGATTTGCAGCAAAAAAGAGAGTAGATCTTGATAATGAAATAAAGTGAGAGAATATATAAATTATTTGGAGAAGAAACACAAGAAACAAGTCAATAGTAGATTGCTAACAGAACTACAGGAGTGGAAATTAAGACTGGACAGCTTATTACTCAAGAAAGCTAGCAATTTTAGACACAGTTCCAATAAGCTTAATTACATATCTGCTAATAAATCAGGTAAACATTTAACCTCATTAGTCAAAAAAGTTTTGAAGAGACAACCCATATCTCTAAAAAATGAAACAAAAGATTTGGTCTATACAAATAACCAAATCATTAACAAAGAATTTAAGTCATTTTATGAGAGCCTACATACATCAGAAATAGAAAAAAATGACCCTACACCCTTTCTAAAATCACTTAATTTGAGATGTTTATCAGTGGAGCAAAAAGAAGAACTTAATAAGGACATAACTTGTACAGAAATTAAATCGGCTATTGATAACTTTCCTCTGAAAAAAGCCCCAGGCATGGATGGCTTGCCAATTGAATTTTATTCAACATTTTGGTTAAGCATAAAACCCCTACTCATAGAAGTCATTAATACCTCCCAAAATAATGACACACTTCCACAAACAATGTACCTAGCTACTATTTCTGTGATACCAAAACCAGGCAGAGATTGTGATAGGCCTTCTGATTTTAGACCAATTAGATTAATTAACTGCAATAAAAAAATTATTACTAAAGTCATGAATAACAGATTAGCACAAATTCTACCAAAAATTATTCATCATAATCAAACTGGATTTATACAAAACAGAGATTTAAAAACCAATACTAGAACATGTATATCTTTAATACAGTACGCTAAGAAGTATAAGAAAGACTTAATATTAATGGCGGTTGACGCCGAAAAAGCTTTCCATCGACTGGAATGGTCTTATTTGTACAAGGTGTTAGAGGTTTATGAATTTCCAATAAAATTTATTAATACGGTTAAAACAATCTACAAAGACCCAAAGGCACAGGTGTATACAAATGGGATTCTTTCAGAACCCTTTTCTTTAAGCAGAAGCACAGCCCAAGGATGCCCTTTATCGCCTTCCTTATTTGCAATAGCAATCGAACCTTTGGCTCAAAAAATTAGACAATCAGAAGAGATTTTTGGCATTACAGTTGGTAAGAAACAATACAAACTTAGTTTATTTGCTGATGATTTATTACTCTATTTAAGTAATACACACACTTCTATTCCATGCATAATTGAAATTATAACAGACTTTTCGAAGTTGTCAGGATATAAAATGAATGAAGGAAAAACAGAAGTAATGGTAATTGACTAAAGTATAAAAAATCTTGAAATTTTAAAACAATTTAAAATACAAACAAGGAATATCAAATATCTCGGCTGTTATATGAGTGCAGATAAATCACAGTTGTATAAAAACAATTTTCTCCCATTGATTAAAAATCTTAATCAAGACATTGAAAGGTGGTCTGACTTGAGGATTAATTTAATCGGTAGAATAAACCTTTTTAAGATGATGTGGCTGCCTAAATTTCTTTATGTATTTCAGACTATTTCTATTACCCCGCTAAAAGCCTTCTTTAAAGAAGTTAATTCACTACTTTCTTTGTTTATTTGGTCTAAAAAAGCTCACAGATTAAAGAGGAAATTACTGTATTATCCTAGAGGGGAGGGTGGTTTAAACCTTCCTAATCTGGAGTTTTATTATAATGCAGCTCAAATGTTTTATATTGGCCGTATAATTAACAACACAAACGAGGAACCATGGATAGATATGGAAAACCATCAGTTACCGCCAAATAGTTTACTCTTAGCACTCTTCTCCAAGCGAAAAATTAAAAAGGTAATTTTTGTTATTAACTGTACATCAAATGCTTGGAAAAAAATGAAAAAAATATTAGGTCAAGAAATAGAAATCCCAAAACATATACACATTTGGAATAATTCATCAACTATTCAAAATGTTCAGCTACACTGGAAGAAGTGGATAAATGGTGGGATAAAAAATTTATCGGAATTCAGTACTTTCATTTCAGGAACTAAAGCATAAATATAAACTAAAAGACACAGAATTTTTCAAGTACTTGAAACTGAAAAAGTGGATAGCAGAAAACTTCGATATGGGAAATAGAGCTTTAACCCAGATAGAGGAAATTCTGAATAAAAGGGGAAAAAAGAGACGGATTGTAGGTGCTGTATACAATATTCTTATCAAAGCTGAGAGCAATGAGGAGCTACTACAGAACATATATAATAAATGGAATGAAGATCTTAGTATGGTAGATGTGGGGGAAAAATGGAAGGAATGCTTAAGACTTACATACAAAATCACCACTAACGAAAATGTACGTTTAATTCAGTACAAATTAATGACAAGAATATACTATACTAGAGACAAGATTCATAAGTTTGACACCAGCTCCTCTGACAGATGTTTAAAATGTAGAACACAGAGGGACTCCCTCATACATGCGTTTTGGTATTGTGAAAAAATTAGAAAGATCTGGGATAATATTGAAAAATAGATTTTAAGTTTTTGTAATTGTAAAGTTGAATTCTCACCAATAATTTGTCTCTTGCAAAATGTTGAGGATTTAAGATACCCAGCTGGTTGGCAGATTCTATTTTCATCATTCGTTTACAAGAAGCTAATATTACAAAACTGGAAAAATAAAGAAGCGGCTACATTTCAAAAATGGAAAACTTTAATGAAATATTATTTAAGTATAGAAAGAACAATGTCGGAAGACAGTAATAATGAGAAACATTTTTACAAGGTATGGAACCCAATTTATGTGTGTGTGTGTGTATGTGTGTGAGATAGATTGTGTATGTTGGTGTATGTGGGGAAGGGATATTACCTGCGATGACAATGTAAACAACTGTATGATATGTGGATATGTAAGGTAAACTGGGTCATCTATGAATTCTAATTTTTTGGAAGAGTTTGTGTTTATACAAAACAATGAAGTATGGAATGTGTTGTATTCAGACCCTTGCTCATGCAATAAAATTAATTATAAAAAAAAAAAAAAGAAAAGAAAATTAAAGTTTAAAACTGATGAAAAAACTCAGGGAACTCAGTCAGGAAGATGGCATTGTGTTTGGGTGGGCAATACACAGTTACACATAATACGGGATCTGAGAAACAGTAGATAACCTCTGGAGACAGATGTGACAAAGTGTTTGTGTTTTTATATTACCCAGAGAAATCAGTGTGACAGGAACCCACATCAGTTCACTGATGAATGGAACAATGGCAAGAAGCCCCGTCAGTGTCTTCCCATACTTTCTCTGAAATGGATCCATCATCGTGATGTAGTTTTGGTCCCGCATTGGCTTCGCAAAGAACAGTCCGCCTTTAAAAAGAGACAGCAAGCATAGCAGTGTGTAACTTAACAATTCAGTTGTACAGTTGTACAGCTCTGTTGTGTCGTCCTCTGACTGTTCTTTTTGGAGGCAGGCCAACATTATGTAATGTAACATTTCTTGGACTAACTGTAGACAGAGAAAGCAGGCAGGCAAGAACAGGCCCAGGTGAGCATCAAATAGTACCCCCCGGGTATGTAGTGCACCCAGCTATTATCAATCACCCAGAGAACCTATCCCATTCTTATTTCTAGGGTCTCAAGTACCTACACTTTGTCCAACCCCGTCTCACTCCAAAGTCATTGAAATCTGGAGCTTGGGCAGTGACTCGCGGTGTCAGACACTGACGAAAAAGCTGCCCTTAAACATCAGCATGATATGTTGTTTGTGGCAATACTTGATGCTAAGAGCAACTGATGTAGTGTAAAGAATGAGGAAGTCTACATATGGTGGAAGGAAGGTGAGGTGGATAGGACAAACAAAACTGGAACACAGTTCGTGTCTGGTGTTGTTTTAATGTAACGTTACATAATTTATGTACAGTTGTCGAACTTTGATGTCACTTACTTAGATGACACAACAAATGTACTTTTTTCAACCCCAAACATGATCGTATTTTTCTAAGCCTGATCAAGTAGCTTTGTTGCCCAAACCAACACATTCTTACTCCAACCTCAACCCATAAATGTTTGGTCATGGACTTTTCATGTCCAGATACAATGTGAAAGGTCCCCTGGGTGCGTTGGTTGTTGACGTTCTGGAACGCCATGTCAAATATCTTCTTTCAAAGTACACTTTTGTTTTCACAGGAAATTTAACATTTCCATACAGTATTTTTCAAGATAAACGCATTACATTAGTACAACAACACGAATTGACGTTTTGTTTTGTTTTCTTCAACAAACACACATGGTTGGGTTTAGGCAACAAAAACGCATGGTTGGGTTTAGGAAAAAAGAACATGGTTTGGCTTTATAATCTTACGGGACGTGAACACTGCTCTCCCTGGTAAAAGTCGGTGATGTTGGACCTATTTACCACCCTTCCCATTGCTCCACTTGGACTTCCGGCACCCTAACTTTTGTTTTTGTCCTTCCTCATTTTCCCTTGACGCTGCTGGACTCTGTTAAATTATAACAACGACTGGCCATGTATCATGCTAACTTACAGGATGGCTTTTTTCATCTGTGTCTGATGCTGCAAGTCACCCAAGTCCGCCCAAGCACCGGATTTCAATGACTGGGTCAGAGTGAGACCGGGTTGCCTAAATGCAACTGAACTTGTTTCACAACATTGGATGTGTTATAATGTGTTACTTGTCACATAGATATGCTAAAGGGTGCCTTATGTGTTGTTGTGACACACTGAAAGGTGTGACAATTCGTTGGTATTTGACGATCTAGGAATGAGGACAGGTTGGAGAACCTGATATGGAAAGGGCAGAAAAGAGAACCAGCAGCTTGTGAGAAGCACTGATGCACAAGAAAAATTCAAGGTACACTTAAAAATAAAATGTAGACATACTGGTGCTATGTACTAGCCCACTTCAAGCACTGCTTCATATGATTTTTTTGGATGTGAATACCTTCTTAAGAGGATCTTACCAATAATAAAGGAAATTGACATTTGCAGAGGAATAAGAGCCCAGATTAGTCCCTTTGTGGGGTCATAAACTGTCTCTGCCAATCCAATGATAAAAGCACCTCCGACCCAGGTGGCTGCAGCAGGAAATAAATGTACAAAGAAAACACAGTCATATCTTTCAGGTCAAGAATCACTATTAATAATATAATGAGTAATGTTTATGATTATATTTGTAAACACTAAATAACTCTTTATTCAAAGCCAGTTCAAGGTTGTTTCTGCTTGACTAAAACTCACCCGTCATTGTGAAGACTCCCACTATCAAATTGACCCTGCGGTTAGCCAAAAAAGACACTTCAATCCATCCATTGAGTGCGTTTTTCTCCATCTTCTTCGATTTTACAGATGCCCAGATGCCAGTTCCCAGCACAAGCAGGTAGAAGATGACCATCATTATCAGACCCGGTATATGGATAGCCATTGTGGAGTATGTTCTAGTGTTGATAAGCTTGGAAAAAGCACATGCAAGTTACCAAGATACACTGAGCTAACAACTAGGAATGAGTGGGTAAATGCAGAGTCAATGAAACATAGAATTTTAATGTGATATGAAGCATCCAAAATGTAACAGGCAGCTGCAGTCAAGGTCATGGTTGCTGTTTGGATGCAGTGAAGCCAGATTTAAAAAAAGACTGGGACCAGAAAAACAAACATAACTTAAAAACTACAGACACTAACAATCTGGACTTTTGGAAATCTGTTTTTCTCTCAATATTCAGACAAATGAGTCACAAGTGTTACACTGACAAGTCTGGGCATTACTTACTGGCATATCTCACAAACAAAAGTGTCCTTGACATATTCCTGTTGTCGTTACCTTGTCTTCATTTAAATCAGGGTAGAGGTACTGCTCTTTATGTAACCAAGTTGTGACTTCATAAAATGTCCTTCCCTGAGAAAGCACACTATGCTTTGATCCAAACATTATTTTTTTTAACAAAAGCCATGTTGGAAGCATAATGCATTCACTTGACAAGAGAAATAAAATTAAAAAAAACAACAACAAAAAAATAAAATAAAATAATCATATATATATATATATGTGTGTGTGTGTGTGTGTGTGTGTGTGTGTGTGCGCGCGCGTGGGTGTGTGTATACAGAGAGAGAGAGAGGGAGAGAGAGAGAGAGAGAGAAAATATACATTCATTTTTGTTTTTTCTGAATTAACAATTAAAACTTTTCTCAGATTTCTGAAATAATGATCTTGTTAATTCGGAGAGAAAGAGTAGATTTTCTCTCCATGAAAACTGAAATCTCATTAACTCAGGAAAGCTGTTATGGAAAAAAAAATCTGCTTTTGTTTTTTTAAGAAGTCTGAAATAATAATTCAGAAAAAAAGAGCTGATTTTTTTCCCATGAAAATTTAATGAGCAGATTTTTTGTTTTTTAATTAAAACTTTTTAGAATTCTGACATAATGATCTCATTAACCCTATGGGCCCGAATGACGCAAAGTGCGTCCAAATTCACACCTGTTCTTATCTATGGATTTTCTCCGCAACCATTCGTCAAGCACTTGTCGGTAGTCGGTAATGTTTTTACAAGGAAAAAAAATTGTAAAGTTACACTAAAATTATGTATAACAAAGCTTTCAGCTTTGCACACACATTACTGTTGGATGGATTACTCGCAAATGCAGGTTCGCACAGAAATGCCACGCATATCACACGAAAGCGCAGGACCGGAGCTTTCCGATGATACAAACACACCATTGTGCTGTCATCCCATCACGCTTTAAATACAGATCAATTGTCTAAAATAAAACCTGACGAATTTCTTTACAATCCATTATACAAATCTTGTATCAGTCCTTTCATATAGTGAGGAATATCGTATCTTACCCGTCTTAGGCTTGCGTGTGTTTCTCCCTATCTATCCACATTTGTAGTCCGGCTTTCAAGATTCAAACTTTGTATGACAAAGTACTTTTGCAATGTGCCTTTTGTTCTAGGGATGCACCGAAATGAAAATTTGTGGCCGAAGCCGAAGCCNTTCAAACTTTGTATGACAAAGTACTTTTGCAATGTGCCTTTTGTTCTAGGGATGCACCGAAATGAAAATTTGTGGCCGAAGCCGAAGCCGAATAATATTAAACGCTTGGCTGAATACCAAGTACCGAATACCGAATGCCGTTTTTTAGTTTTTCATTAGTTTTTGCAGATGAACCCCCTCCAGATTAGTGTTGTCACGGTACCAAAATTGGATCCCACGGTAGGATACCAGTGAAAGTATCACGGTTCTGAGTAGTATCAGGATACCACAGCAAAAATGAGGCAGATGTGCCTTTTGTCATTTATAAAAAGATAAATCACTTTTCTATAGTACATCAATGATATTTCAATGGAATAAATTACTTATTGACTTACTCATACTTCAAAAACAGCATCAATAAGTGATTAACATAGGGGGGATCAAAATAAAATAAATAAATAAAATAAAAATCAACCAAATCAACCAGCCACCCTCCCCTGACAAGTAAAGAACAGTCCCTAAAGTGCGGTGAGGTTTGTGGGCCGTTACCTGCCACTGAAAGAATAAAAGAGAGAAATGTGAACGGCTCGTTTCTCCTCTGATATGTCACATACTGTGTGCCGCCATGGCTCGGCTGTTCAGGTACTTTTGGGCAGTCATGACAACAAGTTATTCACCTGGAGCCGGACTTCTCCGTCACCGGTAAGCCGTTATCATGCGCCACCGTATTTGACAGCAATACATTCCTGTCTGTGTCTGTGACCCCCGTTCAACCCACAACCGGCGGGATTCGCCGTTTTGTTTCTGCTGCTGGTTGAAATCTGTATTCACACAGCTGAATGATTTATTTTGCCCACACAAAACTATTTTTAGTCGCAAATGCGAGTGCGGTGACGGACGGAGTAAAATATCGCCACACTGCCAACATTTTACTCCGTCTGTCACCGCACGCTGTTTGATTGCGTTATCAAAACACACCACTATTATTCGGCCTTGCTTTTCACTTATTCCACTGAATACCGAATGTGTGTTTTTTTGCAATATTCAGCCGAATATATTCGGTTACCAAATATTCGGTGCATCCCTATTTTGTTCCAATGATTGAAGCATTCATAAGAAGACCAGCGCACTTCACCTTTGCGCACCCAGACAACTGTAGCCTAATTATGCATGCGTGACGTAACCTGAGGTCACGTTCAGGGCAGGTCAGTTCAGGTCAGGTCAAAGAGCAGCACAGAGCACAGAGAAGTAAGTCAAGATCATGTCGAAAAGAAAACATCCAGAATTTTTTTTCACTGCAAACAAAGTGGCAAATATTATCTTGGAGGACATCATTGCACTTGGTTGACTTGGTTAAATTTTTCTATTCCTTAGATTTAAATATTGCATGTTTCTTTCAAATAAAACTTAAAAGATAAATTTTTGACTTGTGAATGAGTCAATGGAATTTCTTGCAATAATGAAAAAATCCTGGCAATCATGTCCGCCTGGCACAAACCACATGTTTTGGACAGCTGTGAAGTGACAGAATGTCCCANATGGAATTTCTTGCAATAATGAAAAAATCCTGGCAATCATGTCCGCCTGGCACAAACCACATGTTTTGGACAGCTGTGAAGTGACAGAATGTCCCACCATCATGGTTCTTTTAATGCCAGATTCCAGAGAGAGTCTTCCCTCTTCAGATATGGCAGAATATGTCTACTTCCAACTTGCTATGGTGATATACATGTAAAAATGTAAGAATTTAGTAACACAGATTTTGTTTTCATTGACATAAAAATGTATATAAAATACAGGCACATAGAAGGACAGGAAATGATGGCAAATCTGGATAGACAGATATAGCATGTGTAGCCTTTATAATGACTGTGATATGAGCTGAAAAGTAAAGGCAGTAAACATACCCCAAAAAAGGGCCCAAAGGGTTTAATTCAGAAAAAATAGCAGATTTTTTTCCCCATGAAAACTGTTTAATTCAGAAAAACAAATGCAGTTTTTTTCAATGAAGACTTACACACAAACACACAAACACATAATTATGAGGCAATAATCTTGTTAATTCAGAAAAATAGTTTTTTTTATTTCCATGAAAATTTAATAAATCTCATGAACTGAAAATTTAATAATCTCATAAGAGTTCCTCAACCTGTTCAGTTGAGCCTGTGTGAAGGCAACAGTTGTTATTCTTCAAATAAAGTGAGAGAGGGATCAGATGTAATATTACTTGCCAAAGACAATATTCTTTTAGCAAACGCAGATTGAAAACTTGACCCAAGTGTGTGACCCTCAGTCACTGGGGAGATATGAAAGGGTCTGTACTTTAGGTTCACTGTGTGTACAATTGCCAAACAAACATAAGTTCATCAGGTTCAGTTTGTTTTGTGTCATGCACCTGGAACACTTGGAGGTCAAAGTTGGAAAATTCAGCTGAAATACAAGAAGTTTCACAGATAACAGGCACTCCCGCTTTTGTCAAGTGCTGACATGCCGATAACAAGTGAGCTACAAAAACCTTAATCTCGCCTTGATTCCATCAGAAAATTGCAACTTGTCCTTGAATCCAAACACTGATGCCTTGACTTATCTGTGTCATGAGAGGACCAATTACCAATTAGCACACCTGAGGTTTTATAGTTTAAAACACATTCACACACACTTCTCAAGAATGACATGAAATATGCTCATTTTAATTTTTTTTTATATATATATTTTGCATAAAACAGTTGAAATGACTAGGTACCTATAAAGCAACCACCATCCAAGCAACAGCAAGAATTATACTGAGCAAAATTTTAAATGCAACAACAACAAACTTGCTCCCATTTTTTACAGGCGTAAGTTAAAGGGAAATTTCGGTTTATTTCAACCCGTCTCCTATCGTCCTAAATTTGGTTCAAGTGACTAGTGACATACAGATAATAGTTAGCATGTTAGCCGTTAGCCTAGATACAGCCATAGCGTCAGACCTGTTAAAACGTAAGTGAACGGGCATCCCTTCAAGTGCAAAGTTAGTCCACTAAACAAGCTTTTTTTCCACAAAGACCGCCTCATATCGTTAGGATAAATGTCAGAGAACATATAGAAAACGACATGTAAACATGTTGTCTTACCTTACCGGTGTGCTGCCATGTTTGTTTATCCCTCTAGCTCTGCTTTCCAAAGCGCAGCCGAAATATATCTCGCCAGCTCTAGCTGGATACTACCCCAGGTGGAGGTGTCTCGTCCTCGGTCACATCCAGACCTTGAAAATAAGGCTACAACCGCTCCCATTCCTTGCAACAGAGGCATTCCTCTCAGAGGCACTGGGGCACAGCATTCACAGGTACACCACCAATCTCCAGAGCTACGCAGCCTTGTGGCAGCCATTCCTCCTCTCTCGTCCTCTAATGTTACCTGTTGCGCCTCTCTCTCTCCTCCTTCTCCTCCGTTCAGGCGACTGTCCGGTTCTGCCTTCCAGCTGTTGCTGCTTGTTCAGGCACGCTATGAGATCGCTGCTTGTTCTCGCAATATTTCGGCCGTGCTTTGGAAAGCAGAGCTAAATGGTAAACAAACATGGCAGCACACCGGTAAGGTAAGACAACATGTTTACATGTCGTTTTCTATATGTTCTCTGACATTTATCCTAACGATATGAGGCGGTCTTTGTGGAAAAAAAGCTTGTTTAGTGGACTAACTTTGCACTTGAAGGGATGCCCGTTCACTTATGTTTTAACAGGTCTGACGCTACGGCTGTATCTAGGCTAACGGCTAACATGCTAACTATTATCTGTATGTCACTAGTCACTTGAACCAAATTTAGGACTATAGGAGACGGGTTGAAATAAACCAAAATTTCCCTTTAAAGATCTAAGATTTTTCATGCACTCAATAGATATACAGTGGCATGTAAAGGTTGAGGCACCCCTGGTCAAAATTTTGTTTACTGCAAGTAGTTAAATAAGTAGAAGATGAACTATTCACCAAAAGGCATGAATGTAAAGATGAAACATTTCTTCAATATTTTAAGTAGGATTTCTTTTTAATTTCAATCTTGCTGCAGCTGGCCCAGTCTTAAATTACAACCTTGGCCACTGCAGTGGAGAAGTAGGGGCCTCAGCCAACCTCGATGGTGAGCAACCAAACTGGATGGATCTTTGGCGTAACCTTGTATGGGGTCAAGATACAAGCAATAGATGCAAACCACATTTCCTAGAAACATGTTGGTGTATCATGCCCAGACGGGAGTCAGATGCAACACACCCAACATGCACCCAACCCTTTTCACCAGTCCCGTGGCTTTCCAGCAAGCACAGAACCCGAAAAGGAGCACACCATGTCCAAGAGATTGAACCATACAAATGTGCAAGGTGTAGACCACAAAACAGCTGAACAAGGCTGCCAACAGTGCCACACCATTTGTAGAGTTTGCATGGCCCACAGTGGGAGGGTCTCTGCCCATCCACCTGTCGGCTTCCGGGATGCACTCACAAAGCCATCTTGCAAAACATCTCTTGGAAAAAACCCAACTGGCCACACCATCACCAAAGCACAAAAACATCTCGTCAGTGCATCTGCGATGAATTTAATAGCTACGGCTCACTGTCATTGCAGTGGAACATCACGTAAAAGTGTCTGAAGTGATCCCATCGCAGCTGGCATCTAACCTTAGGCAGTTCTTGGCAGGCTTTGCAGGGAGGTGACTGCTGGCGCTTGAAGCAGTAGTGATAAAGGTTTGCTCTGGCATTGAGACCAGGACATGAAGGGCATTGATGAGATTGTAGAAGTGGTGACACCATCTGTGGAGAAAGCTGGTCAGTGGTCAAATCGCTGATCACTGACGAACGGAAGATGCTGAGAATATCATTTATGTCACATACTGTGGGCTCCACACATATTTGGGTAGGCACATCCTAATTAGCTGGCTATGTTTATGCAAATTTCAGTGGGTGAATGTGTGCTTGTCATTGGAGTAGAGTATTGTTCATAGAATCCACTGAAGGGTGAAACATGTTTGAGGTACAACCCTGTATACCATTCTGATATAGTCAGTGTTAATGGTACAGCCAGGGTATTTCTTTAAATGTGGGTAAATTCTCATTCTTATCAGCTCATCTGGGATGCCTCAAGAATCTATGTTGGGTCCTGTATTTTCTTAACCCATGAAAGCTTTATCTTGGTCAAATTATTTAGGCTTTCTTTCACTGCTTTGCTGACGACACTTTACAATTTATGTACCAAAAAAAAAAGAAAAAAAATCCTATTCCCACAGAAGTACTTTTAAGCTCTCATTGTTTGATTGTAATGTTACACATCATTTATAACGCATTCCCAAGCATGTTTACAGTATTATTTTTTTTAAAAAAAATGTGCTTTAAAAAATACTTGATTTGACTTGTTTAGTCCAAATGATGTGAACAACATTTTGAGTAAATTTCCTCTTAACTTTTTTTTTTATACAAATGAAGTGTTTATGGTCTGATTTTATTGGATTTGAGTCATTTTTGTTGACTCACTTAACAGTTTTGTACAGGACTTGTATTACAGAGATGGCAGCCTCTGGGGCTGAAAAATGAAGCCAACATGCATGTACCAAACACTGCAGTTCCTCAAATGGCAACTTAACACTGGCTCCTTGAGCAAGTCAGTCCCCCTTAAAACACTCAACTTTACAGCAGAAATAAACATGTTAGCAGCCTGGTACTCAAAATGGTTTTGGTTTCTAGGCTTGGGTGCTATTGTGGTATTACCTTATACAAGGTTATTTAGAAATCCCAACAGTATAATTTTCAATACTGTCAAAAATACACACGTCCATCTTACTATTTCACTTGTACCGAGAAGCTTAAATGATCAATTATTTTACCTGGCAGAGACTGCGGGGAAAACGGCACATTTGCAAAATGTAGTAAATTCACATTGTGGGGTTGGGGGGTTGGGGAGCAGTGCTGCACACTAGTACCATCATACCATCAAAGTTATTACGGTTTCAAAAAATAGATACTGCCCAAGCTTATTTGTCTCTTAAGCTAATTTTCCCATTGTACAACGAGTGAATTTAATAGGGCTCACACTTTTCAATGTAAATAAGGCTGAAAGTCATGCATAGCTAAGAGCGTGACTAATTTAATTGACAGCTCAGTGCTGTTCATTGACAAGTCACTATCACAGCGACATCGCTGGTTGGGTAACCATCCCAGCCAACTTTTGTATGTGGGGCCCATGTGGGTAGAAAATGAGCTGAAAATGGGCCCTATATGGGACTGTCCACCGGTTACATATTGGCCCCATGACATTTACCCACATGGGTGGGTGTTTACCCAAGTGGGCCCCAGATAAGATGCTCATTTCAGACCCATACCCACTCTGTAGTCAGGTAGCCCCAGCATGACCCATGTGGACAACTGGCCAATACCAATACGGAACACATGGACATTCCCAACTATGGCCCATTTTTCAGCCCATGTACTGCCCTGTGCACGCAAAACTCAGATTTTACGACCGCGCAGACTCCGCTCCACGCACCAGTGTCACACAAAAGACTGCTCGGCATGTATTTTTCACATTCACATTTTTACAGGAAACTACAGCATGGAAGTGCATTTTGGAATTTTGTCATTTTGGAACGAATTTTGCTGAAACTGGTTAAAGTGTCAGCTGGTTGCAATCTGCAGTCCTTACCACGAGATGCCAGTAAGTCATATAAATCATACACACTGCTCATTTTAACATCTCCAAATAGTATCACAAATATAAAACAATAACTAAAAAAGAAACTGGCATCAATCATATGAAACAAAGTCAAATCATCTCAAAAAATTACCCAAAACATTGTGTGACAAACCATCCTAAACAATCAGGTGCCAATATATATCAAGCACATTTGAAAAAAAACCCTCAGCATTTTGTATCCAGCAATGGTTCAGAGGCAAATTTATCTTTTTCATTTTCATCAGCCTCATCACCATCACCTTCTCTGGCACCATCTGCTGGTGCTCCCTGGGATTTCACCTTGAACACATCCCACCTCTCCGGAAGGATCCCCTTGTTAAACAGGAGTGAGGCCACATAGGAAACTATGAGAATGGAGACCAGCACAAACAGCATGCAAATGGTCTTGACGGGAGAGCGCTGAATGTAAACACCATCTTCTAAAGTGCAGCCTGGGAACTGCAGGATCACAGGAAGACCAAACATCGGCTCTCCACACAACAGTCTCATTACCACTGCAACAAGGTAGCCTGCGATCGCCCCGCAATTGTTGGAAACTTCTGTGAAGAGGACGCAGATCAGTTGAGGGAATAAAATGGTGTAAGTCAGGTCTGAGCTCAGGATCCAGAACACCATCACGCTGTTGTTGAGGGAGGCGAGCGACGTTCCCAGAAGTCCTGCGACCACTATGGAGAGACGAATCACCCACTGCAGCTCTTTATCTGATGCCTAAAGCAGACAAAATAAAACCTGAGTATTTAATCCTTAATGAAATATCTGTAGATAACATCTAAAGAAGAAATACACTTACTGGGCACTTTATTAGGTACACCTATTCCACTGCTTGTTAACACTATCTAATCAGCCAATCATGTGACAGCAACTCAACGCATTTAGGCATGTGGACATGGTCAAGATGACCTGCTGAAGTTCAAACCGAGCATCAGAATTGGGAAGAAAGGTGATTTACAGTTAGTGACTTTGAACATGGCATGGTTGTTGGTGCCAGACGGGTTGGTCTGAGTATTTCAGAATCTACTGGGATTTTCACACACAACCATCTCTAGGGTTTACAGAGGATAGTCTGAAAAAGAGAAAATATTCAGTGAGCGATAGTTCTGTAGGTGAGAATGCGTTGTTGATGCCAGAGGTCAGAGGAGAATGGTCAGATTGGTTCAAGATGACAGAGAGGCAACAGTAACTCAAATAACCACTTGTTACAACCAAACTATGCAGAAAACCATCTCTGGCCCAACAACACATCAAACCTTAAGGCACATGGGCTACAGCAGCAGAACACCACACCGGGTGCCACTCCTGTCAGCTAAGAACAGGAAACTGAGGCTACAATTCACACAGGCTCACCAAAACTGGACAATAGATGATTTTAAAAATTTTGCCTGGTCTGATGAGTCTTGTTTTTTGCTGTTACATTCATATGGTAGGTTCAGATTTTGGTGTAAATAACATGAAAGCATGGATCCATCCTGCCTTGTATCAACGGTTCAGGCTGGTGGTGGTGGTGTAATGGTGTGGGGGATATTTTCTTGGCACACTTTGGGCCCCTTAGTACCAAATGAGCATCGTTTAAACACCACAGCCTACCTGAGCATTGCTGCTGACCGTGTCCATCCCTGTATGACCACAGTGTACCCACCTTCTAATGGCTACTTCCAGCAGGATAACGCACCATGTCACAAAGCTCAAATCACAAAGTGGTTTCTTGAACATGACAGTGAGTTCACTGTACTCCAATGGCCTCCACAGTCACCAGATCTCAATCAATAGAGCACCTTTGGGATGTGGTGGAACGGGAGATTCACATCATGGATGTGCAGCCAACAGATCTGCAGCAACTGTGTGATGCTATCATGTCAATATGGACCAAAAGCTCTGAGGAATGTTTCTGACACCTTGCTGAATATATGCCACGAAAAATTAAGGCAGTTCTGAAGTCAAAAGGGGGTCCAACCCAGTACTTGCAAGGTGTACCTAATAAAGTGGCCAATGAGTGTATATGCAAAGTACCTTACGTGTACATCACATGACATATAGTGATTTGAAGAACAGTCAATACATGTTTACTTTAGAAAAAAGGCAGGGATTAGTTAACAGCAAACTGAGACTGTACTGTGATTGTACTGCACCTGACTCCTGATGGTCTGGTAGATGTTGGTGGTGAAGATGGTGGTTGCAGACAAAATATTAGAGTCAGCAGATGACATCACTGCAGCAGCAATGGCTCCCACGCCAAAAGCAGAAATGTATCTTGGGGTTAAATGCCAAAGGATGATGGGCAACACCATGGCCGCCTCCCCTCGTTCATATGGAGAAGGAGAACCATATGAGGTGGAGTTCCAGTCTGAAATATAGGAGCCAAGACAAACAACAATAAATACTGATTTACCAATGTGGAATGTTGGAGACAGGCTCACTAACAATACTTTCTAACCTTGCTCAATATGGCCACCATGACTACCCTGATATGACAGTAAAGATTACCTGTTGAAGCTGCAACAGCTCCGATCAGTACAGATGGGATTCCCGCAATGATCACGGCTACTGCCGCCATAAAACAAATGATTCTAGCTGTGGATGTGGAGCTGGAGGAGAGTATCCTTTGATGGAAATCCTGCAGAGCCATATTGCCCACACACTAGAAAATAAAACATGGGAGACCAACCAAGCTACCGTCTATTATCGTGATATTGATGTAGACATTATATTTAGGGAATGTTGCTGAAAATAATGAAGAGGCGACATCTGTTGATCCAAACTAGCTTTACAACGAAATGAGCAATATAACAGTTATATAAAATAACTTAACAGAAATAATAATTGTTAAGTGCAAATTTGTAATATGCACTCTATTGAGGTAAATTGTAATTTTCATTGCTTTTAGCTCCATTTAAGAGTCTTCAGATAACTGATATTTGTTTAAATAGGCTCTGGGTTATAAAATATGGAAGCATATTGCTGCCATGTTAGATAAACTCTGATCAGTATCAGGTATCAATCAATCAATCAATCAATCAATTTTATTTATAAAGCCCAATATCACAAATCACAATTTGCCTCACAGGGCTTTACAGCATACGACATCCCTCTGTCCTTTGGACCCTCACAGCGGATAAGGAAAAACTCCCCCAAAAAAACCCCCTTTAACGGGGGAAAAAAACGGTAGAAACCTCAGGAAGAGCAAATGAGGAGGGATCCCTCTTCCAGGACGGACAGACGTGCAATAGATGTCGTACAGAACAGATCAACATGATAAATTAACAGTAATCCGTATGACGCAATGAGACAGAAAGAGAGAGAGACAGAGATAGTTGCAGGACAGACAGTAATGATAATAGCTTACAACAACATTAATTAAAGTAATAATATTATAATAATAATTATGGCTATTGTGGTACAATATGTAGAAAGTATATATTAATATCTGGTAGTATACATATGTGACAATAATCATATGTGTATAATAACAGAAGTATGACTAAGGATAACAGCAGCAGGAGGCATCAGGCAGGATCACGGCAGCAGCACAACCACACACATCACACTATCCAGGCACCGCTGCGATATAAGTTAACCTGCGAGACAGTGGAGCACGAAGGCTCCGGAGAAGAAGCCGAGTTAGTGACATCCAGAATGGCAGAGTTAGCAAGATGCAGTAATAGAATACGAGAGAGAGAGAGAGAGAGAGAGAGAGAGAGAAGGTGCTCGGTGTATTATAGGAGGTACCCTGGCAGACTAGGCCTAAGTCAGCCTAACTAGGGGCTGGTACAAGGCAAGCCTGAGCCAGCCCTAACTATAAGCTTTATCAAAGAGGAAAGTCTTAAGTCTAGTCTTAAATGTGGAGATGGTGTCTGCCTCCCAGACCGCAACAGGAAGATGATTCCACAGGAGAGGAGCCTGATAGCTGAAGGCTCTGGCTCCTGATCTACTTTCGGAGACTTTAGGGACCACGAGTAACCCTGCATTCTCAGAGCACAGTGTTCTGGTGGGATAATATGGCACTCTCTCAGTTCTGGATTTTACAAGGAGCAAGTGCAGAGAAGCTAAAACAGGAGAGATATGATCTCGTTTCTTAGTTCCTGTTAGTACACGTGCTGCTGCATTCTGAATTAGCTGGAGAGACTTACTAGAGCTACCTGATGATAGAGAGTTACAGTAATCAAGCCTTGAGGTAACAAAAGCGTGGACCAATTTTTCTGCATCTTTTCGGGTCAGGATAGGCCTAATTTTAGCAATATTATGCAGATGAAAAAACGCAGTACATGAGGTTTGTTTTAAATGAGAATTAAAAGACAAATCTTGGTCAAATATTACTCCGAGGTTTCTTACATGCTCATCCAGGTTTTTAAGTCTTTAAGGCATTTTTGAAGTTTAGTTAATTGATCAGTTTCTTCTGGCTTTATCGATAAATACAATTGTGTATCATCCGCATAACAATGGAAATTTACAGAGTGATTTCTAATGATGTTACCTAAGGGAAGCATATATAGAATGAATAGGATTGGTCCGAGCACAGAACCTTGTGGAACTCCAAAACAAACTTTAGTACGTAGAGATGAGTCATCATTAACATGAACGAACTGAAAACAGTCAGATAAATAAGATTTAGACCAGCTTAGCAAAGGTTTTGTGTTGTATGTTGTTTACGTTATTATAATAAAACTTCAATTATACTCCCAGTCCCTTTTACTAGCCCTGTGTGGCTACACATTTTGACAAATAAAGGCCTTTCTCAATTAGACACCTGGTCTGGTTGCCAAGCAGTTAATTCGCATGTATAAAACCAGATTGTTGGCTACCTCAAATTATGTGTCCATTCCTCTATTACACTGTAAGTTATTCATATTCCTTCAGTCCATAAGGTTCCTCAGATCAGAAGAGTCAAAAAGGTTTTAATGAAATGTAGCAGCATAGAGGTGTTTATCCTTTGTGATTTGCCACTGTTTATAATGAGCGCCGCTGGTGGCCACTGATGAGGTGGGCCAGTATAAAAGCGGCAGTCCACCCACCAGTTCTTCCTTTTTGGAGGTGTTGCTGCGACGGTGGCACGGAGATTTAAAATTGTGTTTGATAAAGAATCTGAGAAGATAATCGACAGAATTAACTTTGAGTGAACGTGTGTGAGTCTACGAGCTGGTCTCCTCGCTCCAGTCGGGTGAAAATGGGCTCCCGCAGCGGTTTTCGCGGTCGGGGAGGCTTTACTCGTGTTGCAGGAAATCTGGACTGAGACTCCATGGCTGGGCACAGCTGGTCCGGGAATGGGTCGGGCTCTGAGATAGGGCAAGACTGGAACAATGATGAGATGGAGCTGGAAGGAGATAAGGGACAGAAGAGGGGAGATCCGAACCAGCAAGAAAGTTTGAGAGGAGGAAACACTCACAAGAGGCAGAGAAGTGAGGTAGGTGTGAGTTTGGATGAAAGTGTGAAAGGGAGAGGTTTAGCCCAGAGGGAGGGCAATAAGCTGGTGGTGATCTTACGCTTTGGGGAGGCTGAGCAGAAAAAGATGAAAGCTATTAATCCACTGATGCTGACAAAAGACCTAGGCAAACAGCTGGGGGAGATCAAATTTGCTAAAGTGCTACCTGATGGGAATCTCCTGGTGTCATGCTCAGATGAGGGACAAGTAGAAAAAGCTAAGGGTATGAAAGAGGTAGTGACGCTAAAGGTGGTTCAGTCTGGGAGGGTGGGGGAGCGCAGGACAGGTGGTTGTAAGGGAGTGATAGCAGGGGTGCCCTTATGTTTGAAAATGGAGGAGCTGCAGGAGAATCTGGTGGGGGGAAAGATCCTGAGGGTGGAGAGGTTGCAGAGGACGAGAGAGGGGGTGAAAACGGATAGTGAGGCGGTTTTGCTTGAATTTGAGGGGCAGGTGCTGCCTGGTAGAGTGCTGCTGGGTTTTGTAAACTATCCAGTCAGGGCTTATGTGCCAAGGCTGCTGAGATGTTACAACTGCCAGCGGTTTGGCCATACAGCCCAGAACTGTTAGGAGGAGAGGAGGTGTGCCAGATGTGGGGGGGACCATGGCTATGGGGAGTGTGGAAATGGGGTGCCGCCCAAGTGTTGTAACTGTGGGGGAGATCATAATGTGGCGTTTGGGGGTTGTGAGGTTTTAAGGAGGGAGTCACAAGTCCAATAGGTGAGGGCTGAGGGAGGACTCTCATATGCTGAAGCTGTGAGGGTGGTGAGAGGACAAGGCACAGAGACCATCAGGAATGAGTCGAGGAAGGTGGTCGTTCAGGAGGTAGAGAGACAGGTTTCTGACAGGATTTATATAGATAAGAATGCTCTGGTCACCTTCGTAGCAGGTGTGATAAACTGCACATATGGGGTCACGTCTAAAACAGCTAAGATCCAGCTAGTGGTTAAAACAGCGGTGAGTCACCTGGGAGTAGAGGGACTGTCATGGGAGGAGATACAGAGGGACCTACAGGCTGCATGGGACTTACAGAACTCTTAACATTCATGGTGGTTCTCTTACAGTGGAATGCTCTGAGCTTACTGGCCAACGGCCAGGAGTTTAAGCATTTTGTGAGGGAACTGGATTGCAAACCTGACATCATTTGTATTCAAGAAACTTGGCTAAAGCTGAATCTGGATTATGTGCTGTATGGGTACACTGGGGTGCGTAGAGACAGAGAGGATGGTGGTAGGGGTGGAGGGTGTCTTACTTTAATTAGGCTAGGTGTTCCCCTTAGGGTACTGGAACTGGGGGTGGATCTTGAATATATTGTAGTGGAGATATGGGATAAAGGAGTGGAGATGGTGGTGATTAACTACTATAATCCTTGTATGAGGCTGGCGTTAGAGCGATTGTTAGAGGTTAAGGGACAGAAGAAGTAGGGTGGTTTGGTGCGCTGACTTTAATGCTCACAGCACTCTGTGGGGGGGATTTCAGACAGATGTGAATGGAGCAAGGATAGAAGAACTAATGGACGAGAGAGAATTAGTGTGCCTTAATGATGGTAGGGGTACTAGGTTAAACTGGGCGACTGGTAATGAGTCTGTGTTGGACCTGACATTGGTTTCTGCCCCGCTCGCTGGGGTGAGTCAGTGGGAGGTTTGGTCTGAGTCTACTGTAGGTAGTGATCACTATCCCGTATTGTGCACGCTAGGTGGTCAGGTGGAGGGGGGTGCAGGGGGTGGTAACACTCGGTGGGTGTTAGGTAAGGCGGACTGGAGTTTATTTAAGATGACTAGTGAAGAGATTTTAGGTAAGACTGACTTATTGGTGGATGTTGATGAGGTAAATAAGGGTTTCTCATCGGGGGTTATAGAGGCAGCAGAGAGAGCGATACCTCAGAGTAGGGGTGGGAGGGAGAGGAAGCTGGTCCCATGGTGGTCTGAGGAGTGTCAGCAGGCGGTGAGGGAAAGGAATAGGGCATTTAGGTTAGTTAAGAAGACACTTTCCCAACAGCATCTGTTCCATTATATAAGAGCCCAGGCACTTCTGAGGAAGATAGTGAGGAGGGCAAAGAGAGCAGCCTGGAGGGGGTATTGTAGTGGAATAGGGCGGACAACGCCAGTGGGAGAAGTGTGGGGGATGATAAAGAAGATGGGGGGAGACAGGAGAGAATGGGGATACCCAGTGTTGGTGTGTGGTGAAGAGACAGCAATATCAGATGGGGAGAAGGCAGAACTTACGGCCAGATCTTTCTCTAAGGTGCATGATTTGAAGAATCTGTCTGAAGAAGGAATAAGGAGGAGGGAAGCTACCTTGAGTCTCCATCCAGGTGTGGTAGGTAGGAAGGAGAGGGGAGGGGATATTCTTGATGAACCTTTTACGTTAGCAGAGATGGTAAGAGCTATAAATAAGTCCAAGCCCACTTCTCCTGGCAAAGATAGGGTGTGTTATAAAATGCTGCAAAACCTGGGGGATGAGGCTTTGGGGGCGTTGTTGTATATCTACAACAGAGTGTGGGAGGAGGGGAAACTGCCTCAGGGGTGGAAAGAAGCAGTGGTAGGTGCCGGTCCGGAAACCAGGCAAGGACCCTACATTACCATCTAGCTACAGACCAATAGCTTTGACTTCTAATATTTGCAAAGTGATGGAGAGGATGGTGACAGACAGGTTATATTATGTGCTGGAGAGGAGAGGTGTACTGGTGGGATATCAGTGTGGTTTTAGGAGAGGAAGAAACACCATGGATGCTGTGATTAGACTAGAGGATGAGGTAAGGAGAGCCCAGGCTAACAAGGAGTCAGTGATAGCTGTATTTTTTGATATAGAGAAGGCTTATGACATGATGTGGAGAGAAGGTCTGCTGATAAAATTGCACAAGTTGGGAATAGGTGGGAGAATGTTTAATTGGATTAGAGATTTTTTAACTGACAGAAAGATTCAGGTTCGGATTGGCTCTGTTTTGTCCAGTCAGTTCCAGATCAGTAACGGGACTCCTCAGGGGAGTGTCATCAGTCCTCTTCTCTTTACTATAATGATTAATGACATTTTTGCTGGGGTACAGGGGGACATAGGGAGGTCCCTGTTTGCTGACAATAGGGCTCTCTGGAAAAGGGGGAGATGTTTGGAAAATGGGGTAAGGAAGGTGCAGGAAGCAATAGATGAAGTAGAGCAGTGGGGGTTGAAATGGGGCTGCAGGTTCTCAGTGGAGAAGACGCAGACTGTGTTCTTCACAAGGAAGAAGGTGGAAGATGGTCTCAAGCTCAGGTTATATGGGCAAGAGCTGGAGAGGGTTGAGTCTTTTAAGTATTTGGGGGTGGTATTTGATGCTCGTCTGACGTGGGAAAGCCATGTTAAGAGGATAGGAGAAAGGGGAAAAAAGGTGTTGAATGTGATGAGGTGCTTAGCAGGTAGGAGTTGGGGGGCTAGTTGTGAGGCTTTGAGGGCAGTGTATGTGTCACTGGTGAGGTCGGTGCTGGACTATTGCTGTTTGGTGTATGGGTCGGCGGCCCAGACACACCTCAGGAAGCTGGATGTGCTTCAGGCCCAGGCTTTAAGGATCTGCAGTGGGGCATTTAAGTCTTCGTCAGTATCTGCTCTGCAAGTGGCCATGAATGAAATGCCACTGGAAATAAGAAGGGGACAGCTGATGGCTAATTACTGGTCTAGTTTGCAGGGACATGGAGACTCTCACCCTACTTTTGGGGTGCTAAGGGACTGCTGGGAGAATGGAAAGAGTAGAAAGAAGAACTTTGGCCGAGTAGGTAAGGATGTGGCAGGAGAGTTTGGAGTAGGGGGGTTACTGTTATGCCCATCGGTGGTGTACCCAGTCGTGGCTCCCTGGATGTTGGAGTGGCCTGTAGTGGATTGGCGGCTGTTGGAGGAGAAAAAGACTGGAAGAGGGGTGGATTTGGTAGGGGTCTTTAAGAGTCTCACTCAGGTTTCTTATAGGGATTTTACTCTGATATTTACAGATGGATCGAAGGACATGGAGACCGGGGTGACAGTGTTTGGAGTAATTGTTCCAGAGAAGGGGGTGTCACTTAACTGTAGGACTACGAACAGACTGAGTGTGTACACTGTGGAGATGGTAGCTGTGCTGATGGCGCTCAGATGGGCTAAGCATGCTCGGGTGGAGAGGGTGTTAATATGCTGTGACTCGGCTTCAGTGTTAACTAGCTTAAGGTCCTTCCATTCTGGAAGCAGGCAGGGCTTGCTATATGAAATTTTGATGTGTGTGACTCGGTGTGTGAGTCAGGGTAGTATTGTGAGATTTCTGTGGGTTCCTGCACATATAGGAGTGGGGGGCAATGAAGAGGCAGATGTGTTAGCTAAGAGGGCTCTAAAGAAGGAGAGAGTAGATATGCATATTAGGATTAGTAAAGCAGAGGCAAAGGGGATAATTTGGGAAAAGGCAAATCAGTTGTGGCAGGCTAGATGGGATAAGGAAGAGAAGGGTCTGCACTTCTACCAAGTGCAGCGTATTGTTAAAGGGCAGGGGGTCAGGAGTGGCAGCAGGAGGGATGAAATAGTATGGATGAGGCTAAGGTTGGGACACTGTGCGCTGAATAAAACACTGAAGATGATAGGGAGGCACCAGTCAGGGTTATGTGAGGGGTGTGGGGAGGAGGAAGAATCAGTGGAACATGTATTGCTGTGGTGTAGGGCATATGAAGAACATAGGAGAAAGATGAGGGACAAGATGAGAAGTTTGGTGATCCTGGGATTTTAGCTAAATGATATACTCAGTGAGGGCAGTGGGGTTAAATTGAAGATGGTGGTGGAGTTTCTGAAGAGCATAGGGGTGTATGACAGAATATAAGGATAAGGGATGTAGGAAATATGTAACTATTATTATTATTATTTATTTAATTATATTATTATTTAATTAATTAATTTAGTTTTTATTTTATTTATTTGTATTTTTATTTATTTATTCATTTATCTATTTATTTATTTATTTATTTTGTTAATTAAACAATTTATTTCTATTTATTTACTTAGGGCAAGGAAATGAGCAAGTAGGGTTATTGGAGCCTGACCCACACCCGGGTCAGAAGGTGGCGGTAATGCCCGTTGTAAAGGTGGCCAACCGCCGTTAAACTCCACGAAGAAGAAGAAGAAGAAGAAGAAGAAGAAGAAGAAGACAGTTCTTCCTTTGCGCCTCCGTCACCTCTCCGGCCCCCTGTATGCGCTGCTGCGTGTGTCTGTGGTAGGTGTCCTCTCTCTGCGGTATGGTTGATGCTGTCCGGTGGCTAATGCTAGTGTGATCACAGGTAAATGCTGGTGGCTGCCAGGGGTCCTCTCTCCCTCCCTCCTCTCGTGTGTGTGTGTGTCCATCGCTGCTAAAAAGGTATGTATGTGTAGCATAACGTGCACCGCGTCATCATCAGTGTACTTAATATTGCTAATAATATTTTTCTTGATTAGGAATTACTGTAACCAGCTTATTGGGGCGCTGCTGTTTTGTCTCCACTGCGGCTGCTGCCTCCCCTGCTTCTGCTGTTTTGTCTCCACTGCGGCTGCTGCTGCCTCCCCTGCTTCTGCTGTTTTGTCTCCACTGCGGCTGCTGCTGTCTCCCCTGCTTCTGCTGTTTTGTCTGCTGTTTTGTCTCCGCTGTGGCTGCTGCTTTGCCTCCACCGCGTCTGCGGCGTGTCTCTGCTGCGGCTTCGCTTTTATGGCACAGCGCCACGCGGCGGTCTTATAAACCACTTTGTAGCTCTGCTTCAACAAAATAGACCCTTGGTGACTGTTTCAACGTCCGGTGCGGGCAGTTGCTCGGCCGCACGCCGGGGCATGGTTCTCTATTTATATGGAATGCATGTGTGAAAGCGTGGGTTTTCACCATTATTTTTGCTTATTTGTATAGGTTTATTTGTATGTTTTGTTTGGGTTGAACTTGATTCGGTCTGTTTGTGTAACTCATTTGCTAATTAATTGAATTAATTTGAAAGGTCCTTGATGCAATTAGGAAACTGTTTTGTTTTTCTGTTCTTTAGCCTTATTTTCTTTTTTGTTTGGGCTATATTTGTTTGAATCCGAATTGGGTAGTTATTGGTTGATATATTTTGTTGAGTTTAAGTTTGTGCCCTGCCCCTTTAATTATAATTTTGTTAGATTTTGCTTTGTGTTTTTGTTGCAACCCCATTAATTTGTTTTATCTTCCCCTCTTTTCAGTGGCTGGAGGCCGGTGGTGGCGGTGTTGGTGATCTGGTGTTGGCACCCTTCTGTCTTGTCTGCTGTGTTCCTGGGAGTGGGTTACTTCACTGAGTGTGTGTCTGCCACGTGTGTCCGGTGATATAAGTTGATTTCTGTTTTTTTTTGGTGGATCCTTCCCCTGCACTAGGCCCCGTCCATCAACTAGGCCTCAGCCCTGATCAGTTTCCTTTTCCCCTCCCTGCGTGACATTTTTAATTATGGTTTTTACCCAATTTGTTTAATAAAGTGTATTTTTATCAATTGGAACCACGTCTCACGCCTCTTGAGTAAACGTACCTGTGTGCCTTGTATTGCAAAAATAATTCTCTGGGTGAAATTCCCAGGGTGGCGTTGTTGACAACCTTAGCTTTACTATCCTTACTCCTCCTCCTCGCCACAGAAAATTAACCCAAGTTGTGAATATTGTTTAGAGGATAAAGTGGTGCTGTGTTGGTATGCCGGGTGCTGTAATGCTCGAGTGTCATAACTCACTCTCTCTCTGATACGCTGTCTGTTGGAGCTAGATCAGATGAATGATTCATAATTGATATGTTATTCTATACCTATTTTTTTTATAGAAGTAATATTCATACTGGTTTAAGTAAACAATTTGATTGTATTTCCCATCTTTGCTAAGCAACAGTTTTGTGTGGAAGGAATTAAAGGCCTGTCCCAAATTGAGGCCTGTTGATTTCAGTGATTTAAGCAAATAATAGCCGGGACCGGGACTAATAACTGATGTTTTATGGTATGTCATACAAATTTATCATATTACAGTAAAACTTCAATTAATAGCCCGGGCTATTTTCTGCTTAAATCACTGAATTCAATGTGCTTATATTTAGGATAGTCCTTTAATTACTTTTACACAAAACTATTGCACAGCAAAGTTGAGATAAAAATTAGGCTTCAAATTACATCAGTTATGTGTTATGTTATGACACTTGTTTCACTGCACTTGCTGATTATGGCACCCAGCATACTGACACAACACCACCTTATCCTGTTAAAACAATATTAGTTACTTGGATTCATTTATTAGAAAAACATTTTTGATTCTTTTGATCATCGGATCCTTATGGACTACAGGAATATGGATAACGTACAGGTTAATCAAAAAATGGACACATATTCTGACTTTATGACAGCTACAGAGAACTACTTGTTTTTCATCGTGCTTGTAAATCTGAATGAATTCCAGTGTTCTCTGGTGCTCATGGTGTCAGTAAAATGAAATGAGCTAACATTTAAACAGTTATATTTGTACATGCGATCGAAGCAGCTAACTAACGTTAACTCAAGTGGGTAGCAAACAACCCAGTTTTATACCAGATCAGGTGCGAGACAGGCCTTCATATAGTTTTATTATGAGAAGAAACTTTTCTTGTAAGAATATACCATTTTTCTTGTGATGTGAAATGTTTAACATTATAACGTGATCATTCATCACGTTAGAACATGAAATGTGTCATGTTACAACGTGATAACTTGACGTATTATTATAATATAAAACTAACGTTTAAATGGAGAACAGCTGTTTCTAGATCAAATATCCAACAGCCAGTTACAACAGCTGACCATTAATTAATTATTATCAGACCAACATGTGGTTGGCACAGTGACAAATTGTGCCAGCTCATCCATTACAGAGCAAATTACAGGCTGTCTTTAAAGTTATCCAAATTCAGCTTTCACAACTAAAGCTAATTTAAAATGCTGATAAAACTAAGTTAATGCATTTCTCAAATGCTAGGAAGAAGCATGTGAACTCTCCTGATGTTATTACTGCTCAGGGAAAGAAGCTAGAGGTTGTCACTTGTTACAAATATCTCAGTATTTGACTGGATGACTCTCTGTCTTTTAAACCTCTGGTTGATAATGTTCTTAAAAAGCTGAGGCTAAAGTTTGGGTTTTATTTCAGAAACCAGTCCTGTTTCTCCTTTGAGGCCAGGAAAAGACTGGTTGCTACTATGTTTTTACCTGTTCTGGATTATGGTGATCTGTTGTACATAAATGCATCTGCACATTGTTTGCACATGTTAGATACTGCATATCATAGTGCACTGAGATTTGTTACAAACTATAAAGCCCTCACTTATTACTGTACGCTTTATTTCAGGGATGGTGGGCCATCTTTGACCTTTTGAAGGCTCAGTCACTGGCATTTGTTCATTTATAAAGCCATACTGGGTAAAGTCCGTTCGTACATTTGTACTTTGATTAAACAGGCATATGACTGTGGTTATAGTCTGAGATCTTAAGACTTAAGTTTGTTGTCGGTTTCTAGTGCTGACAGTGAGGCTTAAGACCAAGACTTTTTCTTCGTGGATGAAAAATAAATGGTTGTTTTTTGTTTCGAAGGCAATCTGAGGTGAGGTGAAGCAGAGAGGTGTCATCAGGCGTAGGATAGTTTCCAAGCCTCAGTTCTGACAGTTATGGCTACTCCCAAACAGCTGCAAACAGCTTTTTCTACACACCTATCCCAACTGATTTTGACAGAGAATCACTTAAATCCTTTTTAGTTTAGGCCAACAATACACATCTTTATCACAATATCATCCACTGCGTTAAATAACAGCAAAATCTTGCCATGTCTCAAGCATGAAGCCGAACTTAATCAAGTTTCGCCCATTTACTACCCACATGGGCCACAAATGCAAATGTTGGCTGGGTAATAAGAAGATAAATAGTTTATTGTTAGAACAAGAAAAGCTTTTGTTTTGTTTTGTTTTTTTGTTTTGTTTTTTACAAGAACTATTGTTATAACATGAAAATGTCTTAAAACTTGTAAAAACTTGAAAAAAAATCTTGTTGTACCAAGAAACTTACCTGATACTGATACATTTTTTTTCTGTCTTGGCATCAATACATGTCCATAATAAAAAACAACAACAGTAATAATAATAATAATAATTAAAGCTGCAAGCAGCGATGAACGGGCCCTCGCAGTCTACGCGCGTCAGGGCATGCTGCCGTTGGGGGGCTTACACCTAGATGTCTTGTCAGTTGTAATAAATAAAAAACATAAACGTTATCTCTTACTTACATTTCCAGTATACAGGTAGGCACCCAACCCACATATGTATTTTTCCAAAAAGTAGAAGCTGAATACATGCCCAATAGTTCAAGGTCTTCTGACTCTTTAAAAGTTGACATGGTGTCTCTAGCTCAAAGTATGAGGGACAAGAAGAGGTTGAAAATCGATGAGTTTTGAAGAGGATTTGAAGATTTTCCAATTTACTGCCATTCACACTAATTAGACTGCCACCAGAGCGCCACCTATTGGCCGATTTGCACCAAATTTTGCACAATCCCTCATCGGGCCATGGAACACAATTAGCAAAAGTGTTGTGGTAATTGGACTGTATTTGGTCAAGATATGAAAGACTGTCTGTTTTGAACACAATGTGCAGGAATTTGTTGTTTTATATTTTGGGTGTTTTTTGGATGATCAAAATTGTTTTGATAAGTTTTTGTCAGAAGGGTCCACAGATGCTTCATGCAAAGTTTGGTGCAAATCAGAAAATTTCCTAGGAGTTCGAAAAAGTACGTTTTTCATATGTGGCGATTTAGCGAATGGAAAGTTACCACGAAAGTGGGCGTGGCTTACACCACACAATTCAGCTGAATTCAGAGAACACGTAAATAGAAGGTTTAACAATGTGCAACATATTATGTGGGAGTTATTAGCCAAAAACGCTTTTGCATTGAAAATTGCGCCACCTGCTGGTCATTTTTGGTGTGTGAGTTCCAGGGGCCAGTCTTTATCACCCCTATCAATTTTATTTCCATGAGTGTTATGGTGTTGGCACAGTGCCAAATATTAAATTAGACAGCCACCAGAGCGCCACCTAGTGGCGGATCGGTAAGTCCTTCATCACATATCCTCAGGAGGGCATTGACAATAATTATACCAAGTTTCCTGTTAATCCGCCCAACCAATGTTGAGATATAAAATACTTCAATTTAAAGAGCGCCACCTTGTGGTCATCACCCAAAACTTTGCACAGAGCCTCAGGGGCTCATGGGGAAGTGGTAACCTGAGTTTCATGTCATTCGTATATACCAATGTGGAGATATGCAGCACTTCTGTTTAGAACGAAATCTGCAGAAAGTTGTTAATAAATAACTTCAGTATTCTTTGGAATATCAAAATTCTTTTAATAACTTTTTGTCGGGAGGATCCACAGATGCTGTTTGCGAAGTTTCATGCCAATAGGTGAAATTGCCAGGGAGGAGTTCGAAAAAGTGGGTTTGCGACATTTTGCGAATTTGCGGGAAAAAAACGGTAGACGGAAATGGGCGTGGCCTATACCACAAGATTCAGCACAATTCACTGAACGCGTGGATATAAGGTGTTTGAATGTGCCACAAAGTATATGGGAGTTATCAGCCAAAACGCACTTTCCTTAATAGCGCCACCTAGTGGTGGAAATTCAGGACGACAATAGATTATAAAATTTTTCGCCAGGTGTGACTTATATTCCAAGTTTGGTGAGTTTTGGGATATGTTCAGGCAGTGAAAAATGCGATCATATGGGCGGAAGAAAAAAATAAATAAATAAATAAATTAAAGCTGCAAGCAGCGTTTGGCGGGACCTCGCACTCTTGCCCGTTTCGGCCCCTAGCATATGTCATCATTGTCAATTATTTAGAAATATCAAGCATATTGCCACAAACATCAGAAAATCCTTACAGAGCTGAATGGTTTGATGGTTGAATGCTTTCTATCCACCTTATTTTTCACGGAAACACGGAGGCAAAACAGAACGCAGCCAGCTTCCGTTTTTTTGTGCGACACTTCCGGTCCAGCACTCTTACCACTGTGTAAATGGGAATTGCCTTGTTGTTTACCTTGGTGAGTTTAGCTATATATATATATGTATATATCACATTTTTCACGTCACTATATCACCGTTTAGACTAATCTGATGTTTGTAAAGTCTATAAACACAATGACTGAACAAACATTAGTATTTTCTCTGTGTGTAATTAATAACATGGTTATCGTAGATTAGCTGGGCTAACCGTTAGCTGTTAGCTGTTAGCCGTGTCTGTAATAACTCACTAAACTCACAAAGTGGCCCGTAAAAAAAAATATTTTCTCCAGTGGATGTCTTAGTTACAACATGATTGAGTTAATTGGAGTAGTTTCATGTCGTATCCGACAACGGGAGGCTTTTAACGGATGACGATCCTGATGTTAGCTTTGCTGCTAGTGTTAACGTTAGCTGTCCCTGTCAGCTGCAGCCACTGATGCTTTCTAGACATCGTGATTTCCCAAAACTGAATAAATACCACACATAGCAACACAAAACTGCTTTGCTAGCTCAATCATGTTGTAACGGCTGGATGGTTGATGCGTACATGCTGATTCAGGTGCTATCAGAGCCGATCCGCGCATCACTATGGCTTAATGATCAACTCAGTCAATTAAAACAACCCGTCCTGTGTTAGGAGTGTATGTCGCTGACAGAAAGAAAGAAAGAAAAGGGAAAAAAAGATAGAAAAGCAGCGTACACCTCACATATTTATTTCTCACAGTTGCGCACACGTTTGGCTGGCATGCAGAAGCACCGTCTGTGTGTCTGTGTGTCGAGGGTGCGAGCCGCAGCTTCAGCTGCTCAGGTAGAGAGGCTGTGTAGCCCGGTGTGTTTTTTCGCTGATTCGGTTCTGCAGGTTCTCTGCTGGTACACTGGAGACGGGGATCAAGCAGTTTGTCTCACTCGGGATAGATTATGCTTTTTTGGTTCATAGTTTATGATTGACGTGCGATTTATTTGCGTTTAGAGGGAATAAATTTCCGTTATAACGGAAACGTGGGCACAGTTATCTATACAAAATACACAGACTAACTAACTAACTAACTAACTAACTGATTGACTAACATAAACAACTGAAAATTGAAAAAAAAATTAGCTTGCACTGTTAGCTCCGGTAAGGGAAAGCATGAGGGAAAGCGGCTGACCGGAAGTCACGCACAAAAAAACGGAAGTTGATCACTATTTACTTCCGTGTTTGAAAATAAGGTGGATAACTGTAGGTATGTATAAGTGATGTCACAGTATGCAAATTAGATGAGTCAATTTACTCCCATCTGATTCCTGTTCCTTTATTTTGAGGATGAGATGACAAAATCAACACAAAACAAAAGAAATATACTGTGTAAATATGTACAAAATGTTTGACTGAGATTTATTCAATCCAATATGGCCCCCGCCTAGTGACGCCACAATATGCAAATTAGATGAGTTAATTTACTCCCATCTCATTTCCGTTCCTTTATTTTGAGGATGAGACAACAAAAACAACACAAAACAAAATAAATCTACTGTGTAAATATGTTAAAAATGTTGTTTTACTGAGATCCAATATGGCAGCCGCCTAGTGATGTCACAATATGCAAATTAGATCAGTTAATTTACTCACATGACAAACTTTGGGTCATGATGAATATTTTTCTCATTTACAGTATGCCTTTATCTCTCACCACTTTCAAGCCACAGCCTTTTGAAATGTTGAAATGAAAATGGAATATTTTCCTCAAATAACTCTGGCATCTAAAGGGTTAAAATGGAGATTGTGCCCCTGTCATGTCTGCATGTAAGATTTAGACACTTACACACATCATGTTTTTGTGAGTTTGTGTGTGACAGCTGTTGCCATGGTTATTAAGTATGTGCACCTTGCAGAAGAGCAGAGAGAGACAGACAGAACACAGAGGAGACCTCTTTTAGTGGAGATTTAACTCTTCGAACAAGTTCTTCCCATACCCAAACCGTTGGTCCAATCATCAAAAAAAAGTAATGGTGAGAGAGATAAAGTTATAAAGAAGATTTGTTTAGCAGCAGTTGAGCTGGCACGTGTGCCTGTTTGAAGGCGATACGATAAACGGTGTAGGAGGAGATGTGTTTTTTTAAGAGCACGTTTGAGAGGAAATCTTACTTTGAAAGGGCAAGTAGCTCACTTCCTGTTGGATTGAAGTCATGGGTGTCAGCGCGTGATTTGTAAGTCAAAAACACCAGTTTTGGTTTGATATTTCTATGACATTCCTACGGGCTGCAGTGGCCAGTTTAGTGCGCCTAGGTGGCGCTAGAGAGCCCATTTTGGCACTTTAGGGGTTAATAATGTGTATTTGCTGTTTCAAATGAAGTTTCTGCTGCTGTAATCTGTCCTTTAAAGATTGTGAGCCACACAGACAGATAGAGCTGTGTGTGCGTGTCTGTGTGTGCAGCCGTTGTCATGGCGATTAATGACTTGCCTGCACTTGAGGGGCACACACAGAGCTCATGAGAGAGCAGATCAGCAAAGGCTGTTTAATATGGGTTTTAACTCCTCGAACAAATTCTTCCCATACCCAAACCGTTGGTCCCATCAAGAAAATAAAGTGATTGTGAGAGAGAGCCACTTCTCGTGAACGCATGTGTCATGTTTTATATTTCTAGAGTCAAAAATGTGGTCAGAGGAGCGAGTTACAAATGTGTTGCACCCCAGCTGTTTCCAGAAATTTCTCCTCTTAGTTTACATGGGAGTGAATGAGAAAAAAATCGGCGCTCCCTTCGCTTTGGAGCCACTCAGCAAAAATGTGTGCGTGTGAGAGATTCCATGTCAACATATCTGTGAGCAGGACAAATTTTCCTACGTTTTGTGGTATAAATTGTGTCTGTACAGTGAAAATTGTGGCCATGGCAGTGAGTTAAAGACAAAAGTTTTAGAGGATTTTTAGAGCCCTCTCCACTCTAGCTCACAGCATTCCGTGCAATACACACCCATTATAAACTGACAATTTCTCCACTTTTGCTCATGGTACTTTGAGAGGCACAGATTAAAAACGGTAAAAGATATGAAAAAGATGAAAACATGAGTGAATAGATGAGACCTGTGGCAACATTTGAGAGTTGGAATGGAGTCTGTAGCACAAAGTATGGAGACGCTGTAAAGGCTAGAAAAAGCCCAAAGATTGGTCTCTTTCTCCCCCCTGCTGCCATTCATTTCCTATGGGACAGGTTTCGAAGATCGTCAGGACGTTTTTCTGACATCTCACCTTTAGGAGCCTATAAAATCCAAACTAATCGAGTAATGAAAAAGTTATGAATAAGATCTGATTAGCACCAGTTGATCTGTAATGTGTGCGAGTTTGAAGCCGATACGATAAATGATGTAGGAGGAGCAGTTTTGAGGCGAAATCTTACTGTGAAAGGGCAAATAGCTCACTTCCTGTTGGATTTAGGTCAGGGGTGTGAGCACGAGAATTGTAGGGCTTGATGAGACGAACACAGCAGTTTTGGTTTCATGTTTCTATGACGTTCCAACGGGCCGTAGCGGCCATTTTTGTGTGCCTAGGTGGCGCTAGAGAGCCCATTTTGGCACTTTAGGGGTTAATTTAATGATTTTCTGAAAATTTTCACCAGTTCTGATATGCGTGCCAATTTTGGTGAGTTTTTGAGCATGTTTAGGGGGTCAAATTCCAGCTCAAAGAGGCGGCGGGAGAAAGAATAATAAACGCAGCAAAAACAATAGGGTCCTCGCCTTTGGCGAGGACTGCTCTGTGAGCAGTCCTCTGCCTTTGGGCACGGTCCCTAATAATCAGGAGAAAAACAATAGGGACCTCGCAGGTCTCCCGCTCGGGCCCTAATAATAATAATAACCTCCTGAGACCCAAACTTTTGTTTGGTATGCTTTTTTAAATTCTCCTAGTTATTCGGGATTATTAAGACCCAATAAGTATAAAAACCTTAACATTGTCAATGATAATAAGTCCCAAGGTCCTCAAACAAGACAATAATACAAGTCCCATTGTCTTCAAACAAAACAACAATCAAGTCCCAATGTCCTCAAACAAGACAATAATAAAAGTCCCAATGTCATCAAACTAGTACTTCCTAATTAACAGTGTCTTAGCTTGTTACTGTTGCTAAAATTGGTCAAATGTGTTGCCATATCAATCATCAATCATCTACAAACATGATTAATCATAAATACACAAGTTTCAACCATAACGTGATCAAGTTTTGAACCTTGTTGGCCCTTTTGTGTTGGGATGAGCTGCAGACTGACTTGGCAGAGATGGCTACCATCTTGTTTTTACATAGATTAGTGTATTGTGCTCTTACTACCACTAGATGGCACAAAAATGTGTCCACGAATGAGGACAACAGATCTAAGTCGAGTAGAATGAAGTAGGTCTATAATGTCAAGTAAACCCAGAATATGATGTCCTCATATGAGGACACAGGATCTCAGAAAGATGATAAAGCCTATTGTATTACATGGAAGTCCTTATAACAACAATTTTATATGGCATATGGAAACAGAAAAGCTGTATTTTACACCTATATAATGTTCTTTGATTCATCTTACCAACACCAGAAAATCATCAATCCATCTCCTGACTTGATCAGACTCAAGGTGGCCAAGCCAGGACACCTGATACGTGTGGTTCCATGCTGTTTTAGTGATGTCAGTATAAACGTCACTTGCCAGAACGAAGGGGACACACAGCCACTGTGAAAAGAGGAACTCACTCAGCAAAATCTAATTGAAAGATGCAGTGTTTCGGATTTAGTGGCATCTAGTGGTGAAGTTGCAGAACTCGGACTTCTCACATGTTTTAAGTGTAGAGAAGAACTCTGGCACCCAAATCGGAAAAGGAAACAGCCCTATCTAGAGCCAGTGTTTGATTTGTCCTTTCTCGGCTACTGTAGAAACAACAATTTTTATTTTCAGGTGATGAAAACAAAGTTGGACCACTTTCTGCCAATAGATACCTCTAAAACCTTCACACTGGACATTAAAGAAGCAGACATTGAAACACATTATCTTTAACCTTCATAGTGTAAAACTCACCAAGCCAAGAAGCACCAGTGATATTTGGATTATATCAGTGGAAGCAACTGAGTAGAGACCTCCAAGACCAGTGTAGATGATTGCCACTGCAGCAGAGATCCAGACACAAACACTGAAGGGCAGATCTAACACCACACTCATGGTTGCTCCTGTGGAAGGAAAACAGTACAGAGAGTGAAAAAAGTATGATTAAAAAATTAGACTGAATCGGTCAGAAAGTGAATGTGTCAGTTTGCGTGTACTTGTATGTGTGTACCCAAGGACACCAGTGTTGCACTTGTCCAGGAAACTTCAGCTATGACTGGTATAATGGCAAGAGCCACAGTCAGTGCTTTTCCATACTTCCTCTGAAATGGATCCATTATACTGATGTAATTGTTCTCCCTCATTGGCTTTGCAAAAAACAGTCCACCTTTAAATGGATGAAAAAGAGAGAGAATAACACTGTTGGAATGGTTGGCCTCTCAGGATTAATTTGAGGTATTTTTTTTATGTGGACAGTGTGGAATACAAGCTATATGTGGTGTTTTGTGTTATCATTGGAAGGCGGGGTAAACAAAAAAAATATCTTAGATTTCGAGAATAAAGTCATAGATCTACAAGAATGAAGTCATTGATCTACAAGAATAAAGTCATTGATCTATGCGAATAAAGTTGGAAATCTAGAAGAATTAAGTCAAATATTCCAAGATTAAACTCGTAATTTTAGCAGAAAAAAAGTCACAGATTAGGAACATAAAGTTAGGCAACATGATATAAAAAGCGACACAGCATGTACAAACAGTGTTGGGGGTGACACTAATATACATCTTAGTAGTACCCTAGTAATATAATGTGTTACCAACAAGATTTCAGGTAATATTATATTTACAATGTCACGTAATAATCTAATAATAATAAGTAATTTCTTAATATTTTGCCTTTAATTTTGTAGATCTGCAACTTTATTCTCGTAGACATATGACTTTATTCTCTAAAACTAAGATTTTTTTTTTTCTTTAACATGTCCCTAATCGCTCTTTGTACGATTGAGCACGGTTTTGGAGAATACTTGTTGGCTGCACGCTTACGAAGTTTGGAACAGCTGCAGTTTGGTCAAGGTGGAAGCCAGTTGAGCTTCTCTGGGTTAAAACGTTATAAAGCATGACCACATCCTCATGTGTTGCCCTGTGATGCATATTCAAATGAGGGAGCTCCCATGAGTGGGTGATCACAGGTGGGTAAATTCTTATTTTTATCAGCTTTTTTGAGAAGGCTCCAGAATCCATAGTGAATCCTGTGATTTACCCCATACTCTCTGTTTGCAGTGTAATATCTGTTTGCAGAACTTCATGTCTGTTACACCTTAATGTTCAAAATCATGTAGGAAAGAAGCAAGCACTCTCAAAATAAATCCCCTCGAAAGGTGCACAGCCAGAAACAGCGAAAATGGGAAAAATGCCAGCACACACAAATGTCCTTTTGGTAAATTTAATAAACCAACTTAGGTGGCAGTACCAGAAAACACAGACGTTTCGACAAAAAGTCTTCTTCAGTATGTAACTCAGGTTACGGAAGTGGCGTTTAAGTACGCTCAAAGCAATCAGAGCAGGTGTGTGGAAAGACACTTTACACTTCCGCCATACAATGTAGTGCCAACTCACAGGCAAACAATAAACACAATAACAATACAACAATCTTAAACAAGTGTGTCACAATAACAATACAACAATCTTAAACAAGTGTGTCACGGCAAAATAGCAGTAGATAACCCAAAAATAGATATACATATGCATAGTAAGTTCTACATATGCATAATAAGTTCTGCTCGTATAGTATCTGCCCCCTTAAGCACACATGTTTTACTGTTGTTCACAGTGTCTTTTTGTACGAGCAGAACTTATTATGCATATGTATATCTATTTTTGGGTTATCTACTGTTATTTTGCCGTGAGATACTTGTTTAAGATTGTTGGTATTGTTATTGTGTTTATTCTTTGCCTGTGAGTTAGCACTATATTGTATGGCGGAAGTGTAAAGTGTCTTTCCACACACCTGCTCTGACTACTTAGAGCATACTTAAACGCCACTTCCGTAACCTGAGTTACATACTGAAGAAGACTTTCTGTCAAAACGTCTGTGTTTTCTGGTACTGCCACCCAAGTTGGTTTATTAAATTTACCAAAAGGACATTTGTGTGTGCTGGCATTTTTCCCTTTTTCAACTTTAATATTACCTCTGCCTTGTTGAAGAAAAAAATTATTTCTGCACATTGGAGACAAAATATCACAACAAGAGAATTCTATTGGAAGATCCATTCAGATCAAAGGCTAGCTGGTAATTAGAGTGCAGCTCTGTGAAACAGGATTTTCTTATTTATTGAACACTACTGAAATGATGTAAAGGTTCACTAATATGCCGTCTTGACACATATTTATCTGGAGACACACCTCATGAAAAGATAAAATTCCAAAGCATTACATCGAGACTCTGACTTATTGAAGAAACTTACCGATGACAAAGGAAACAGATATTTGCAGAGGCAGAAGAGCCCAGATTAGACCCCTGGTGGGGTCATAAACTGACTCTGCAATTCCAATGATAAAGGCACCTCCGACCCAGGTGGCTGCAAGAGAAAAAATATATGCCCACAGGGATGTACGTTAACTTTTTTAGCCCATAAGCTCTGGTGCTACAGAGGGTGATAATTTTGTAGCACAGGCCAGAAAGTTTGTAGCACCTGTCACGATAACAAATTTTGCTGGGCGATTAATTGAGTCAGAAATTATTGTGCTTTTTAGACCATTTTTTTTAAACTTATGTAATGATAATAAAGGCATAAGGACACAAGTACACCATTTTAAAGAGAAATAAACATTTATTTAACGAGAATATTTACAAATGCAAAAAAAGAAAATTTAAATATTCAAAATAAATAAATAAAGACCTTATAAATACAAAACAATAGACTGTCAGTCTCTCACTCTCAGGTGTGCTGTTAAGTTGGTCATATTCGCTCTTTTTGTTGAGATGGTTGTAGAACAAACCGGTACACCGGTCGTCCAAATTACTGTGCTCCCCTCTGTCATTTGGTTTAAATCCAAAACACTCCCACATAGGGGCCATGGCATTTGGTTTAGGAACAAGTTCCATGTCTTTCTCTTATGCTCAATGCTCTGTTTTCTTCTACGCCTCGTCTCCCCCTCACGAAGATTGCACTGTGTGTGTGTGTGTGTGTGTGTAGCCCATAGCCCTGCCTCCCCCACAGGGACAAAGACACTAGATGACAAGAGCTTTCCCTCCGTTCATTACGCTAATAAACCAACTCACCTGGCTGCCAGACAATGCACGGCAGTGAACACTCTTGTCGTCTTGTGAAAAAAACGAGAAAAAAACAGACGACACACACACACACACACACAAGCGGCTCGCAAGCAGTCTGTTGCACGGGTGCTACTAGGCAAATAAATTCATCGCACAAACATTTTTTTCCATCGCACATGGAAAAGCCTGGCACATAAATGCAAAATTAGGGTTGGATCATTAATGTGGGGTGTGGTGGAAAAAGAAATGTAAGGTATATTCATTAAAAGGTTCTAATTTCAGAAAAGCTTTAACATAAATAAACATTTTGACATGAATGTAGATACCCAAAATTGTATTGGGCCAGTTTACTGAAACCTCTTTAACATATCATCACAGATGTTGAAAAGGCTAGATACTTATGTACAGGCATTTAAATAATAAAAGCATAATATTAAACAAACCAAAACTTACCTGTCATTGTAAAGACTCCCACGAACAAGCTGACACTGCGGTTAGCCAAAAAAGAAAACTCTAACCGTCCACCTTGTGTGTTTTTCTCCATTTTCTTTGATTTCACAGATGCCCAGATGCCAGTTCCCAACACAAGCAAATAGAACGCCACCATCATTATCAGACCTGGTATATTGAGAGCCATTGCTGATTAAAACAACAAACTTCTCCTGGCGGGTGTTGAGTTTTGTGAGCACACGCCTTTTGTGAGAGAAAGTATAGCAGAAGTTATGAAATACATGAGGTGGTTTCAAATTACTCACCAAGCAGGGGGTGGCTCTGTGGGAGATGTTCAGAAGATTTGTCCTGTAGATTTTGTCGTTAAAGTAAGCATGACAGAAATGTTCCTACTGTACAGCCAATTAGTCTGCACTGTTGTATATGTATGTAGCCTATATTTGATAAATGTTGAGGCTTATAGATTTGTAATGATAAGATGAGAAACCAGAAACCATGGATTGCCAGATCTATTCAGGATGCCATAACTACACGCACACCACCCTCGACCACAGGCTGCAATACGGAAACGTGGACAATTAAAAAGCAGCAGCCTACAATGTGTGAAGAAAAGTAAAGGACACAAAAAGGGAGACAGTGTAACTTCAAATGTAGGAGGGCAATCCCAAAGGCACGACACAGAGTCATATAACGCTTTCCAGATAACTCAGAACTTCCTGCTCATGAAAGTACAATAAACAAAAAATTAAAAATTCCCACTGCAGAGCCAGAGAGCCAATAGGCTTTGCTCGAGATGAACTGCGCCTCTCTTGGAAGGTGGATGAGATCAGGTGGCTGCAGTAGGAGGCAGTGACAAAAATCATATCATAACATCATAGGCGGAGTTTGACTTTTTAGCTAGGGGGGGCAAACATTTTTTTTTTTTACGTCAGGGCACAGTCCAACTAGATTCAAGATTCAAAGTGTTTATTGTCATGTGCACAGTAAGGAAACGCATTTCCCTGTACAATGAAATTATTCCTTTGCTGTCCACACCGAATGCTGTGCAATATAACTATTCTGTGACATAGGCTATTACACATATAACAGACAACAGTGCCAAGCCTGTCATAAAGCCAAACTGCACAGCGCATCACACATGAGCGCACACAACTGAAGCACACTGGCAGCCAACCATGAAGTTCAAGTCTGTTAAAATATCGTTTTGTTTTATAGCTACTGTTAGCCTTTCGTTTTCCATGTGTCCTTTTAAAACATTTAGTGTACGGCATGAACCAGTTCCATGTTAAACTGTATACAAAGGAATGTGCTCACACCTGTCTGTGTGCATTCTCACGCACGCAGGCGCACACACACATAAAACCAAACTACACAGCGTATTCACACATGATTGCACACAACTGAAGCACACTGGCAGTCAACCATAAAGTTAAACTCTGTTATCACAATTAGATGATACTCAGTAACAATTGTTACAGTATGGTCGTAAATATATACAGTATAGGCCTACACATATTAAATAACATGTGTCTTACCTAGTGTAGAAGTAAACGCCTTTTTTTTGCATCCTGCGGAAATGTCCACAATCTTCTCAGGTGACACATTCTGACTCGTTTCCCTCCCTGTGTCCACGGAAAGGCAATCCAAGTTTAGACAGTAGCCTCACAATATCCACGACTTTACACAGATAAGATCTGTTCTTCTCAACAGTAGCGTTATGGCTCTCAGACAGTTTGGCCGCTATAGATTCTGAAGATGCACTCTGTTTAAAGTTATCCCATTTAACCATGGAGTTCAGATGCGCCACAGAGTTTGCATGTTTGTCCAGTTTATTGCTCAGTCATTCACGCCCTTTCGAAATGAATCCTCCACACTGGAAGTGGAGGCAGGCAAAACAGAAGACAGCATCCTTTCTAACCGAATATTCCAGCCAGGAATACTTGTAATAAGTGATCGTTTTGTGTTTCCAATTATTTTTGAGGGAAATTCTGATAAAGCAGGCTGCTTGGGACAGCAGTGCTTTTCGCCAAGATCATCATTAATGTTACCCACTGATGGCCCCGCTGGTGGCTCTGTTGTGGCCACGCTGGCCAACCGGCTCCACGGCGGCCCCAGAGCGAGATCTGATGTGGAGTTAGCTGGGCTTGCTATTCCAGAGCTGCTCTCGGGTATTTCCATGTCCGGATCTTCACATGTAGGCCCAGGCGGCTCTTGGTCAACTGTTGTTGAAGTCTTAGTTGAAAGTGGAGGTTTTAAAAATCGCCGAATGTCCATTTTTGCTAGCTGAATCAATGAATGCTAAAATGGGAAACGAAACCATCTCTAACATCACAACGCCATGTCACGACTCAAAAATGAATTTATTACAAAATATAATAGGATTCATATTTATTTCATACAATTGTTTTGTTTTATTGCATTATTTAAAATATTTATACATTTTAAAAAAGAAATATTTTTATTGGCCATATTGTAGACTCAATATCATGACATATTTCAGCCACTATTTCGAAATCTATGAGAATAAAGTCATACATCAAGGAGAATTAAGCCGTAGATCGACAAGAAAAAAGTCGTAGATCTATGAGAAAAAAGCTGTAGATCTATGGGAATAAAGTCATTGATCTATGAAAATAAAGTTGTAAATCTTAAAGAATATAGCCATAGATCTACAAGAATAAAGTCATAGATCAAGGAGAATTAAGCTATAGATCGACAAGAAAAAAGTCATCTACGAGAATAAGGTCATAGATCTATGAGAATAAAGCTATAGATCTGCAAGAATTACGTCATACATCAAGGAGAATAAGGTCATAGATTGACGAGAATATTGAGAGAATATTTGAGATATCGTTATGTGGAAAGTGTGTCATAACCTGGCTCACAGGCGATGACAAAAACGGAGAGACACAGTGTGAACTCAAATACAAAAGTATATTTATTTAAATAAAACAACGTAAATAAACATAATGCAGGTATGGGGTGTGTTAGTCAGTGTGATCAGTAGTGTACATGTGGATGTGTGGAGCATGCGAGGTGTGGTGTTGTGGAGATAACCTAAAATACCGCTTCTATCTGTCCACGCACCGGGCCCAGGTGCTTGTGATCCAGACAATCAGCTGATGACCTCGGGGAAAAGACACATCATGTCACCAATTACGTCATCAACATAGCATGAACTAAACCAACCAACGCAGCCAAGCAGGGACCATCACACCCCCCCACCCCCATAAAAACAGTGTCCCACAGGGAACACTGGCACAGCAGTACTAACAAAAATTTAACTCAACGAAAGTCACAGAAAAATACTCATATACTAACATTTAATATGTAAATACTAATACTAAAATGAAAATAAACAAAATTAACCAAGGATAACCTATTAATACTAATGAGAAAAGAAACTCATAACCTCCATCCTGCCCATGTTCTGCTCCTTCCCCACCTGTCCTCAGCAACCCAGTGCCTGGGAAGCAAATTAAGAATTCCTGCAGAGCAGCAACAGATCACAAACAGCATGAAATAACATTACAAACAGAAATGGCACGCGGCAATGCAAGAGCTCACGGCAGAGGAGCACGTGATAACGCGTCGGCAATAACATTATCGGTCCCCTTAATATGCCAAATATGCAGATCATAAGCCTGCAAGAACAGGGGCCATCTCATTATGTTGAAGTTTTTCTGGTGACTTACGACAAAAACGCTGCTTTATCAACTGCGTGTCACCCACATCAGTGTCATGCGCAACCCAATCGTTGTGCAAAGAATTTTTTAAGCAACCACACAGCACACTTTCATCAGGCTCAGGCACCCCATCCTCATGTGTACCAGCCACTGAACTGGCAAACAGAGCCAGACACACGGAGGCTGGGCACGCCCCACCACCAGCCCGACAGGACTCACCATCACGCTGCAACATGGCTCCAAAAGACCAACACGACACAGCTGTCAAGACTCCCTCCAACCTGGCGTCGCAACGAAACCACTCAAGTCCGAAAGCCTCTCAGTGACAGCACACCGACCAGTGCACTTGGCCTGAAAGAGCGACCCCACAACAGGCACCAATGCCAAAACCCGATCTCCAGGACTGAACCCCCGGCGATCATGAAGTTTCTTCAACTTACTCTGAGACAACTGCGACTTATTGCGTGTCATACCACCGGCTACAAACAAGCGATGCCGAAACCCGGTACCAAAATCAATCAAGTTTTTCAGCGGTTTAGCCTCCACCCAGTTGTCTTTTAGCACAGCCAAAGGACCTCTCCCCACATGCCCGACTGAAACTCTTTTGGACTGCTCTTTTGGACTGAAACCAGTGCTCTCTTGTACAGCTTTCCACGCAGCCAGCATCAGCCAGGGGAGCCCCTCTTCAGATTTAGCAGGTGGCAACGGACGGACACAGTCCACAATCAAACACTCAAATGGTTCACTTACGGCAGGGTTGGGTTGCAGAGAAGCAGACTTCACATGCTGAATCGGCTTGCCCATTAATTGGCACACATGACAGGTTTTAATGTACGCTGCACGTACATTAAAACCTTTTTACACATGGCCAAAAGAAATGTTTCAGGATGTTCAGATACGTTTTCCTGACCCCATAGTGTCCACTCTCATCGTGGGCAAATTTCAGGACAAAGGGACGAAATTTAGCCAGCACAACCAACTGCACAACAGTATCTCCCACACAGTCACCACCCACAGCAGCCCATTTCCAAAATAACAGTCCATCCTGCAAAAAGTACCCACCGGCTGCACGGTTTATCTCCGCAGCCAGCAGAACATGGTCAAATATCTCTTTAAGAGAGGAATCATCTGACTGCTCCTGCAACAACTCACCTTGTGACGCAGACAGTGGAAAATCGGACAAAGACGGAGCCTCGAAATCAGTGTCACCAAGCTTCCCACCAGATAACTCTGGCTCAGCCTTACTCATTGCACACGTAACCACACAGGCCGGCAGCACATCAGGCACTTCACTGGAGCTCACATCAGAAACATCATCAACCGGACAGGGGGTAACAACAGGTGAGGGAGGGATGTCAGCCCAAACTCTCTTACCAGCCAGACCGTTGCCCAAAATAAAATGAACCCCCCACAATCAAGCATCACTTTATGCAAAGGAACGGGTAAAACAGCCATCCCAATCCCGCGACTGAGGACAAAGTCACCGCTGTCAGTCTCGGCGGACAAAGGCAACACTGACTGGACCATAAAGGAGTCAAA